GAGAGAATTACAATATCCAGCAGATAATGAAGACTTCGTGAGTCTTGTGCCTCAACCGGAAGCTGCTACAGATTAAAAATTACATTCAGAATTTAAATTAGTTAATTTAATCCTGTGCAGGGGTTACAGGTCACGGGTAGAGACACTAGTTAAGGGGAAGCTCCTGGGACTAAGCTTAGTGTTGTGGCAGCCCGTTAAAATCCAAGGAAGGACAAGGTGAACTTCATCTTGGAGGAGCAGGATGCTAACTGGTTGGGGGCGAGAGCTGTCGGTCCCCCGGTGCCTCCGTTCACTAGCTGCGGCCTTGGGTGAGTCAACCAGCCTCTCTGTGCTTTGAGAAGTGGAGATGATCGCACGGAACCCATTCTTGGTCTTGTTGACAGGTAAGTGGGCCGTACCTGGCAGGTAATGAGGCCTCAGTAACATCCATCTATGATAGGTGGAGGGAGAAGTTTCTCGTTATCTTGAGGTCCTTGTGAAGCCCCACGGAAAGCCTACTCTCAGTGAATCACAAGGGGCCAACCCTCCTCTGAAGAACTCAGCCCCTGCTTTTCCATCCGGAGCTCACACACTGCGTGCGTCCTCTGGCCTCTCCTTCCTTGGCAGTGATGGGCATTTTGGAGTGGGCCGTCTGAGGGTTCTGCACTCCTTTGCCTCTAGAAATGCCACCCGCCTAGCTGACAGGCATGATCCCTCCGCGTTGGCCACATCAACGGGATGTTTCTCGGCCTCTAGAGTTGCAGCTGCCTGGGCCTCCATTTAAGTGACAACCTTTAGAACTCAGAGGAAAACAGAGTGGGAACAGATAGGGATTTAAAAAAACAAAACAAACAAACAAACAAAAACACCCTAGAGACCTGTCCCTGCTGCTGTTGGAGATCTGGGCAGCTCCCAGGCCTTCGTCCCAGCTTTGAGAGATGATTCCCATGCTGATGAGAAAGCTCTACCTGGGGCTCTTACAGCTCAAGGCTGTCTCCTGAGGTTAGGATTATTGCGTCATTTCAAAGACAAAGGAATTAAGGCTCCAAGTTAGAGACCCTTCCCTCTGTCCTTTAGGCCGATTTCCTCTTGCCGGTCTGGAGCCCCTTACGTCCCCACGTGCTCTCCTTCACGGGCTCCTCCAAGGGGAACTCTGCTCAAAGGTGCCTGCTCCTTGCTTCCCTAACTTCCCTCGGTGGTTGTTGTTGTTGTTTTTAATGTTTACGCTGAGAGAGAGGGAGAGAGAGAACAAGCGGAGGAGGGGCAGACAGAGAGAATCCCAAGCTGGCTCCGCACTGTGAGTGCAGAGCCTGATACGCGGCTGGATCTCCGTGAGACCACGACCTGAGCTGACATCAAGAGGGGGATGCTCCGGGCGCCTGGGTGGCTCAGTCGGTTCAGCATCTGACTTCGGCTCAGGTCACGATCTCGCGGTCCGTGAGTTCGAGCCCCGCGTCGGGCTCTGGGCTGACGGCTCAGAGCCTGGAGACTGCTTCCGATTCTGTGTCTCCCTCTCTCTCTGACCCTCCCCTGTTCATGCCCTGTCTCTCTCTTTCTCAAAAATAAATAAACGTTAAAAAAAATTAAAAAAGAAAAAAGTTGGATGCTCAACCGACTGGGCCACCCAGGTGCCCCTCCTGTGCATATTTTAAGTTGAGTCTATCTCCTCCTTCCTCCTCTCACCTGGGCACCCCTAAATACCCTCCTAGCAGTGACTTTGTTTAAAAACCATAGTGTGCTCCGTCTTCCTAAATCCGTGTCTTGCCCGATCCCTACTTCCTCCTGCTGATTTTGCGAAGTCACCCCTGAAGAAGGCAAAGGAGAGGGCTGCTGACAGCAGAAAGCCCTAAGACACGCCCTCAAAGCTACCACAAAAGTAGAGGGTTGACTGCGATGTACGATGAGGACATGTGGATTTCTTTCAGCGAAGGACTTGAAAGGGTGGGGAGTTGAGAATCAATCAAATTTCTAGAAAAAAAAATTGCAGGGGAAGAGTGGAATTTCCATCTCAAACTGGGTCAGCACTCATATACGTTGCTGGTGGAAGTGTCTGGAGGTACAGGTACTTTGGAAAACAGTTGAAGATGATCACATTCGTGAGCCACATCTGGTTGTACGTCCAAGGTATGCATGCGTCTTGGAGAAACTTGCGCCTGCACTCAGGAGACATTTGCAACAAGGTTCATCCCGGCGTTGTTGGTGCTAACAAGTAAAAAAAGAACTAGGAAACCACCCAGATAGATACCCATTGATTAAAAACAAAAAGTGTGTTGTTATTCACACAATGGAATACTACATCCCTGAAAATGAGCCATCTATGACGGAGCTTACAGACGTCAAGCTGAGCCCCCAAAAATTGTAACAAAAGGCTACAATGTATGATGATATCTATGTCAAGTCCAAAAAATATTAAACAACTGTAAAGAGAAGCAAGGGAATAATAAGCACAAGGTTGGTGGATACTGGATCAGATGCTGCCCCGTCTGGGGCCAGAGAAGAATACACAGGGACATTAATGGCATCGCAGATGTCCCATTGCTTACGCTGGTGATGGGTACACAAACGTTAGTTATTCTTTTCTTTTATTATTCTTTACACCAGATACACTGTATGTATTCTTTGATATATGTGAACCACTTAGTAATAAACATGAAACCCTCATAGTCTGTTAGGAGGAGAGGCCAATCACTCAGGACCCCCTGCCGGTCCTCTGTTCTCCTCCGATCGCTTACCACCCTCAGGCCCCTTATCCAACCCTGAACTTTCTATCTGGCTACAGACCCGCCTTCTGAAAAAGGCAGGTCACTTTTGTGGCCGGCCAGCAGTTTTCAACTAGAGGCGCACATAAGTGCCACAGATGGAATCAGTAACCCAGGTGGGTCGTAGGCTGCTGCAAGATTCACCTCCCCACAGTCCTGGTGTCAGTCAGCAAATGTCTTTCAGGAGCTATATCTGAAGTGCTTCAGGGTGGTCTTCTGGTATCAGCCTTGGATGCTCGTACCCCCTCCCCGCCCACCAGGAAGGTGAGTGCTTTTGATACGGCGCCGCAGAAATCGCTCAACAAGCATTCGGTCAGTGATCAGTAATAACTAAATGCCCGTAACAAAGTAAATGCTCCTGCACTGGACCGGAGGCAAACGTGAGCCCCGCCTGCTAACAAAGCCTCAGGAGCTGGGGAGACGGGGAGGGCGTTTGGCAGCCTGTGGATCTGGGAAAAGATGGGAGGGGCATCTCTACCAATCATTAACATTTGAGCTGCAATTTGAGGTCGAGGTGCTGGCTCAGAACGCTATGCCGTGGCCTCTAAAAATCTTGCAACAGCAGCTGAGATCAGGTTCTGCATTTGATTTCCTGCTAGATTCATTGGGTCTGGCCAGAGAGCCTTGTCTTTCTATCTTTATCGCTCTAACCATGTTAATGTAAAAGAGAGATTGTTTTGGAGCCCTTTCAGGGCCACGCCTTAGAATTGCTCTGAATATGAGCTCTAGGAGTCTGATTTCCGTAGTTATAAATGCTGAGTAGTTGTTGGCTGTTGATTTAGCTGCTGAGTCATGGGGCCCGGATCTAGGTTTTAAGCAGTCTGAAACATCCAGTGTATTGGTGAAATCACAAACTCTGCTTGCAGAATTCACATAATTCTTTAGGAAACATTTTGCAATTTCCTTGTTTTTTTAAGCTGAATTTAATCCTAAAATTCTTGCTTAGCCAATGGGAAACACAATACTGTGCACCAGTGCCTTGGAAACCTAAGCCAGTAGCTCAGGGGATAAAAATGTTAGGAGTGAAGGAAGAAAAGAGGTTTTGCAACTGGCCAAAAGAAATATTAAATTCGAACACACATTTGAGTCTCTACCTGCAAGGCAATGCAGAAAAGAGATACGTGACATTTTAGCTCTCAGATTTACAGACCAAGAAGGCGGCTGACAAATACAAATTTAACGATAACAGAAAATGAAGTAATTGCCTTAGCTCTTCCTTGGACGAGGAGAATGTGCTACGGGGCTGATTCTAAATGGGTAGCAGTTCTTTCTGGATCAAAAAGGTGAAATCGCAGCACCCACACTTTCCCGTTTTTCATTTGCCAGACTACCGTGGAATACCGCCTGCTTTGAGCTTTGAGAACTCCCCCGGGTCTGTGTGAAATTCCAGTCCCAAATCATAACGCCTATGGTTCACAGGTATCGGGTGAGAAAGGGAGGAACACGAAGTCTTCTTTGCAGATGCAACATTAAGAGCTAAAGGCCGAAGGACCACAGGGGACGCACGTGGAGAAGTGCCTAGCACGTAGGAAGTGCTCAAAAGGCATCAGCTCCAACTGTGGGGAAGTTAACTTCCTTTCGGCCACGTCGCCTGATACCCTTTGACCGACGCACAAGAACAAAACGACCGGGTCACCGCGGCAGGCGGGCGGCCAGGCGCGCAGCACGCAACCGCGGGCGGGCGCACGTGGCCCCCAACACCGGGCCCCGAGGCCGCGCAGCAAACCCGGCCTGGGAGCCGGGTGGAGGCCACCGACGTCTCCAGGCCGACCCGGTCTCCTGCACCCCGCTGCGGAGCGGGGCAGGCCGGGAAGGGGGGGGGGGGGAGGGCAGCGCAGGTCGTCGCCAAGGTCGTGGGCCGGACGTGCGGCGCCGGAGCGACGCTGCGTGCGTGCGGGACTCGGAGTACGTGACGGAGCCCCGAACCCTCATGCCGGCCGCCCCACCCCGCCCCTCCCCGGGGCCCCGGCACCGCAGACCCCGCTCGGCCAGAGGTCCCAGCGCGGGGCGGGAGTGGAGGGCGTCGGGACGGGGGCTGGCCCGCACCCCTACACAGCCATGGGGAAGTCGGGGTCCCCCCGGCCCCACTCTGCTCCCCGTCCTGGGGAGTCGCTTCCCCCTCCGGGCCGCAACGGCCGCTGCAATCCCGCCCCCTCCAGGGAGGTGCGGGCCCGAATGACGGCACGCCAGGCCAATGACGAGGCGCCGTGGCGGGGGCGGGCCGGGGGGCGGGGGGAAGTGGGCGGGGCCTCGAGGAGCTGGGCAGGAAGTCGGGGCAGGCGGCGCGGAGACCCGCTTAGAGCATTCGGCGCGCTGAGACCTTACGGCTTATCCTCGCGCTTGGTGTGTGCGGCACCCTCTGCTTCTTTCCCGGGCAGCGCTATCCGGCGGTCAGGTAGGGGCTTGGGGCAGGGCTGCCGAGCCGGCGCCCAGGCCTGGGGGGTCCTGCCCTTGAGTCCGGCGGGGACGTGGAAGGGGCGGGTCGGCACGTGCGAGCCGGCCTCCGGGACCAGGGGCGCGGCGCCGGGCTTTGCCCGGGGCGGGGGCAGGATCTGATTAGCCAGCGATTATGGACTCATGGGGCCTCCTAACCTGCGGGAGCTCGGGAGTAGGACGCGGCACGCGTGGAGGGTGCAGGGCTTTGGGGAAGATTCGGGCCTAACTCCGGTGCTCATTAGCGCCAGGCCTTTCCTAAAATGGAGGAAGGGGCAGGGACGGGAGAGATGCCCAGGAAGCTGCGATCCCCTCCCCCCACCAGCAGCCCCTGCTCCCGGCTGGGGGCCCTCGGCCTGCAGTCGGGCGGCTGGGGGACGGAAGGAGCAGCGACTAATGAATGGAACTTCAGAAAGTCCTTATTCTTAAGGAGGCTGCGGCAGAACCGTTGCATAAAGGGGAAAGCCCTCCAGGCGACCTCGCCCAGGTCAGGCTGGAGCTGCTCCCGCTGCCCGGCCTGGCCACTCGCAGTCGGCCCCCGATCTGACATAGAAAGGATGTCTTTTTACGAAAACTTCCTGTTCGTTTTCCCCCTACAATGTGGGCTTCCCTCTGGGTGGTGTGGCCCGTCGGTGACTCGCAGCCGAGGACACACGTCGGCCCTTGACCGCCCGGTCCACACGTGCTGCCCCTGGACCGGGGTCCAGGCCGATGAGCTGTGGAGACCAGCTCTCCTTGCTGTCTCTGCTTATTGAACGTTAATGACTGCAGGAATAGTTTCCTATCCAATTTAAATTTAATTTTATTTTCACACCCTGAAATAAGTTGAATACTTTGTCTTAATGTCTCTAACATGAAACAAAATATGAGATCTTACAACTGCCTGAGGACATAGTGTAATAAAGATATGTTTAAAAGTGCATCTGTCTCTCCCTCTCTCTGCCCCTCCTCCACTCTCTCCCAAAATAAATACACATTTAAAAAATAAAAGCGCATTTAAAACCTATAAAGTGAGGCTGGCAGCCTCGGGTGGGGGGGGAGCTTGACAGCAAAGTGCCTGAGGGGACTCTTTTGTCTGGTGGTGGCAATCATACACAGGTATAATTTGCCAAAACTCGGACTCAACCGAAAGCATGAAGCTAAAAAATACGTGTAAACGAATTTGCCTTTTTGTAAGATAATAAAAACTATATGCCTTTTTTTGTTGGCTAATGAATAAAACTCCATTGTTAACCTAGACAGCGAAGCCACAGCGGTGACTTCAGTGTCTAATTTTGAAACATAAAAAAGAAAGATGCCATTTGCTGCTTCAGAACATTCCAGGCAAGATACTGGAGAGGAGCCCAGCTAGATAATGGCTCTGAACACTCGCCCAATTCCACTAGGCCTCTTTCAGTCCTAGAAGTTCATTTCTTCCTTGGGAGCCCCTGGAGGGGAAGGTGAGAGAGGGCTTTCTTTGAGGATCTGGTATTTGCTGTTTGTGGCAGATCTTTTGTTTGTTTGTGCTTTCAAAGAAGGCCTCTTCCCATGAAGCATCTTAGCATTCAAAGATAGAATCTGTGTTGGGGGGGTGCTGGCTGGCTCAGAGCATGTGACTCAATCTCAGGGTGATGAGCTCAGGCCCCACAATGGACATGGAGCCTATTTTAGAAAATTAAAAAAATTTTTTTAAAAAACAAAAATAGAACTTTATTCTTTCAACTTAGGATATTTCCTAAGTGAGTTTTTTTGAATGGGTAAAATGCCTGTTGAAAGAAATACTAATTAGATGTCACTGTGCATCCGGTCTTGGTAAAGGTCCAAGTACGGTGAAGCGTGAAACTGGCAATGGCACAGATTGCGCACAGACCAAGGACACTCCTGGCCTCAAAATTTCTGAGCATCCAATGTCCAGCAGTTGAACATCTTACTGCTTATGTCCCTAGCTATTCACTGTTCCACTACAAATCAGGTTTTCCTCCTCGGATCACATCAGGGTTGTTGGTTTTTTTGTTTGTTTTTTGCCCTGGGTGGGTTTGCTCACGACCTTCACGTCCCCTTGGTCCTTACTTGGTCCTTCCATTCCCACGCCAGCCCTCGTTGGGAACTGTTGACAATAACCCGTTTCAGACTGCCTCCTCCTCTGCTGTTCCGCATGCCAGCAGCACATGAATCTTTCCGGTGGTTTTGGGTTCTCCCTGGCGCACATTTTCTGGCTTTCTTTGCTTAGAGGACAAGCCCTGGGCTGCTGGGGTTTTTTAGGCCCTGCAGAGCTGGGTCCAGCAGGCTTCCCGACTCTTGTCAGCCTTACATTCAATATCTGTCCGGTACGAATTCTTTCTTTCTAGTCCAGGAACCCTCAGAAGTGATTCTTTAAATGAACGACCCAAAACTGCATTATGGTTTATGGAAAATATGAACTGTGTTTCCCCACAGGAAGTCACCATGTCTATCCTCAAGGTGCATGCCAGAGAGATCTTCGACTCTCGTGGGAATCCCACCGTTGAGGTGGACCTCTATACCTCCAAAGGTACGTGGGCCTTCCTTTCCGCAGTTCTGCTACCACACTCCCCCCCTCCCCCCTCTTTTTTTAATTAAACGACAGAGCCTTAGGTAAGAAAAGGTGGGTCTCGTGAAAGCCTTCCGTCTGATCCCCATGTGCTGGTAGGTTGTGGTTCCTGACTGGGAGGAGGTGGGGAGGGTTGCCAGACATGGGGTCCTTGTCCTGCTGCTTCTTAGTATTTAAAACAGAAAGCAGGCTGGTTCCTAGGTCAGTGAGGAGAAGAAAGACCATTCCTCGTCCTTAAAAGGGCCCATCGCTCGTTTGCTTCTTAGCTTGCTGTCACCGGCATGGCCGATCTGATGTGGTAGGACGGAGCTTTCTCCGTTGAAAAGGAAAGATCAGAGGAGGGCAAGTGTATGTGAAGCCTTCTCTTTGTTTCCAGAAATCACTCTTAGACCAAGGATTGGGGACAGCTCTTAACATTTGGGTGTTGGGCCATTCCATAGGCTCTTGTTTTCTGCCTAGCTGTAAGTCCTCCCTCGAGGGATTTGTCCACGTGGGAAAAATGGAGGCTTCTTTTTTTATGTTTCTTTTCATAGTGCCCTCAAGTGGGGAGAAGGGGAGAGAGAATCCCAAGCAGGCTCCGCACTCAGCGCGGAGCCTGACGCGGGGCTCGATCTCACAAAACTGAGATCATGCCCCGAGCCAAAATCAAGAGTCAGACAGTCAGCCGACTGAGCCACCCAGGCGCCCCTTAAATGGGGAGTCTTAAAAGCTTTTGGCAGTTTTTAACTTTAAGGAAATTTGGTGTGTTCCGTCCAGCGATGTCTGAGCTGGTTTCTAAATGGACCTTGGGTGGGGTCGGAAAAGGAGCCTCAGGCAGAATCACCCAGCGGCGCTGAGCGCACAGACCTGCCGCTCAGAGCTGAGTCATGGTCTGTAGAAACCCCGGCCCTTCCCTTCCTGCCCTGCCCACGGTTCCTTGCTGTGGCGGGTGCTGTCGGCACAGGGTTTCTTCACAGCACGTGCTTCGTGCCAAATACCCCAGGGTTCGAGGAGAGTGCTGGGAATTTCCTCGCGGCTGGCAAGACTGGCTTGCTCACAGCATGGAACTTTCCATTTGGAAGTTAACGGACTTGAACCAACAGTGAAAACAGGATTCAAGATACTAGAAGATTGTTGGGGGGAGGGGGGAAGCATTCTCTTTGAAACACTTAAAAATGACCAAATATTTTTTTGAAATTTAAACGAACGGAAAGTTTTCTCTTGTGTGTCTGTCGATGCTTTTCAAAGACAGGAAATAGTGGATTTGTGAAGAGCCTTTCATCACTTTTTTTTTTTATTTATTTACTGTTAAGAGCAGTTTTAAGTTCACAGCAAAATCCAGCAAAAGGTACAGAGAGCACAGGCCCCCGGTCCCCACACGTGCACAGCGTCCCCCACCGGAGTGGGACATTTGTTAACATTGGAACCTGCCTTGGCCCATCGTTGCCCAGAGTCCATAGTTACATCAGGGTCACTTGCTTGCTTTTGTGGCTCCTTCACCTCGTCCGGTGCCTGGTGGGGACCTAGAAAGCCAGGGCCCGTGTCAAGAGACCACGTGTCCTGCACACACCATCACCGCAGTGACGCAGGCAGACTTACGGACCGTTTATTTAAAATGCCTGCTTGATTTTTTTTTTCCTTTGTTCCTTTGCCTTCTCATATCTCAGGTGGGGAAATCCCTTACGGTTTCAAGTAGTTTCTAGAGGCCCCCTTCACTTCCTGCTGCCCTGAACCTGTCTGCCTGCAGTGCCAGATCCCCGCAGTGTCTTTCTTAACAGCGTCCTTTTCCAAGATCAGCTACGTTTATGCTCCGTAGTGTAGGTCTAGCCAGACGGCTGGTTCCGTGTCCCCAGGATGGCATAGCGTGGTGCTTGATCGCCTTCCAGTGTTCCCAAGCTCGTACCTGTACTGTCCTTATTTTTTATATCTCCGCATGTTTTTATTGGTTACGCGTGGAAATGATCATGTTTTTGATAACAGTGGGTTAAAGAATATATTAATTTCTCTTGGTTTTACAAGTTTATTTGTTTCTTTTTAGAGGTGGGGGGGGAGAGAGAGAGAGAATGAACCTCAAGAAGGTGTCACACTATCAGCCCAACGCGGGGCTCGAACTCACGAACCGTGAGATCATGACCCCAGCCGAATCAGATGCTTAACCAACTAAGCCACCCAGGCGCCCCTTGGTTTTACTTTCCGACTTCAGTGTAGCTACTAGAAGATCTTAAACCTCATAAGTGGCTTGCATCGAATTTCTGTGGGGCGGTGCCACCGGGGGGTGGTCACAGACCAGCTGCAGGACACGAACGGGGTGCTTGTTAGAGATACAGGCACAGAGTCTTCGGCCTCCCGTTTCGGAACCTGCATCTTAACAAGGTTACCAGGTGATCGTTTGCGCACCGGAACATCTGAGAAGCTCTGCTTGAAAACTTTTTCTTGAAACTAGAGAGATTCACCAGCTTTGCCATAGGGTCCGTGTTGGAGAATGGTCCCCACGTGAAGGGCAGGAGAGACCGACCATCTGAGTCCCCCAGGTGGTGGAAGGACGTGTTTCCCGACAGCTGCCATCTGTGAGTGGGTGGGACTCCGCAAGGGCTGGGACTGTGTCTCTCGGTCACGATTTCTCCCTCCCTCAACGTCCAGGTCTCTTCAGAGCCGCTGTGCCCAGTGGTGCCTCAACTGGTATCTACGAGGCCCTCGAGCTCCGCGACAATGACAAGACACGCTACATGGGCAAAGGTAAGAACCCCTGCCTGCCTCTGGAGCGTGGCTGCGTGCCTCGTCCACGCCTCCAGCCCCTGCTCCCGGCCTGTCACAGCCTCCCCACTCTCCACGTGCCTTGTATTTGAGGATGGCACACCCTGATGTGGCCCATGGTGTCGATGGTGAGCGTGTACTCTGTGCCTGGGGGAGCTGGGAGGGTTGGCATGTTGATTCCAGCCTTCCTAAACCTGTGCGCTCAGGGGCAAGAGTTTTATGCTCATTTGTACTGCACTTGGTCCAATCTGGAAAATTCCTGCTTAGGGAACTGTAGCGCAAGAGCCTTGCCGTGTTCCCAGGAGGGCTCCGCAGGCCTTCCAGACCATCATCCCTCTCCAAGGGGCTGGTCTCAGTAGAGTGTGTGGAAGGCCTGGCTAATGGCTCACCTACAGACCAGTCCTGGCAGCTTGATCTTTCTGTTGGGGGATTCGCGGACCTGGCAAAGCCAGCCTCTGCTGGGCTGTGCACAGATCGGCCTGTTACTGTCTTGCAAAGTTCGCCTTACCGTAGACATAATCTGTGTGGCCAAATCACAGAACAGCAGCTGGGGCCTAGACCATGCCTTCTCAACAGAGCAGTATCGCCCCAGGGGTAGGAATTGGTTCTTGGGGGAGGCAAAAAAATTAAAAAAAGAAAAAAAAAATCCTACAATATTACTTTGTTTTATGGTCCTCCAAAGGGCCACAGTATATAAATAGGAGTATAGCATATCCGTGGCATTAAATTTTCAGAGAAGGGCGATTCGGGAAAAGGTCTGAAAAGACTGCAGGGGAGGGGTGGTGATGAAGTGAGCTAGGGAAGTCCGCAGCCAGTGCTCCGGGGATTATCTCCCACGGGTTCCCGCTGCTCCCGGCTCAGGCGGATACTGGTCCCAAGCAGGCCTTGCAGCACCTGGACTGTAATGAGGGTGAACCCGTGGTCCCGAGGACTCTTCCTGCCTTCCTGTCTCCTCTCTTTTCTCTCATTCCCTGTCCTTCACAGCCTGTTCTCTTCTGAGTCTGTCTTTTTTCCTTCTCTGTCAATCTCTACTGGTCAGGTGTCTCCAGACCCGTTAAGTATATTAATGAGTTCCTGGCACCAGCCTTGTGCACACAGGTAATACACGGGGCATCCTTTAGTGTCTGCGGCTGGTTCCCAGTGCATGGTCTTCCAACTAACTTCCCTTCAGACATTCTGAGATGGTTGCTCTGTGTGTGGCTCTAATCCTTGGGGGTCCTAGGTAAGAGCACTCAGACTGGGCCAGAAAATACCCCAATCTTGGGGGGACAGAAATGGGGATTTGAAAGCGGTCCCGTTTAAGGTCTCTGGGCGGGCTTCTGAATATCTGGGTTAATATCCTTGGTGGTTCGCTCAGTGCTGCTCACGCCTGTTTTTCATTAATGCCGGTAATTTGATTTGATTGTTCCTTCTAGGTGTCTCAAAGGCTGTTGAGCACATCAATAAAACTATTGCACCTGCCCTGATTAGCAAGGTAGGACCTGCCTCCTGATAACTAATGTATTAATGCCATCAGAGCGTCTCCCAGGCCAGTGGGCTTTCCTGGTTATGGAAGAGCTTATTCTGAGAGCTAAAGGAGCCAGTTGGATTCCCTGTCCTGCATGAGAATGACCTCACCTTTACTAATCCACCCCCTGCCTGCGTCCACACCTAACAGCGCATGGAATTGGACCAGAGCGACGGGAGACCGTCTCATGATTTTTCCCTCCAACTATCTTGACCTTTGGGAAGTTAAGATCCAGATTTTAAGAGCGGCTCTTGGGTGTTGAGCAGAGTATCCACGGTGACCGACCATTTTTCACGAACCGTGGAATTATTTACTTTAGTTTTACTGGCTTTTTCTTTTAAACAACAGAGCTCTGGTTGAATAAAATTTAACTTGGGACCTCAGTGTATCATAAAAGTAGGGTGAAGTAAGGAGGGGACCCACCAGCCCAACCCACTCCTGCCTCAGCCCTGCCCCACCCCGCCCCACCCCACCCCAACTCCCGGGGCACCGGCGAGGGCAAGAAGGATTTAAAAGCCCCTGGCTGGGGAAGCCTTCTCAGGCCTGGAGCCAACTGCAGCGGCCGTCCGTGCCTCCTGGGTGTGTGCCTCCCCTCCTTGAACTCATCCTGTTCCCAGGGGCGCACAGGCCCCTCTGTTATTTGTCCCCGGCTGGCTTACCTCGGCCTGGCCTTTGCGGGCCTCGGTGATGGGTCCCCAGGTGGTTTCTCGTGGCTGCTCTGCCGGCTCACGTGCTCCGACCCGGTCTCCCGGGCACCTCCACGCACCCCTTCGTTCTTTGTGCCCGGGTGCCCTTACCTGGTGTGACTAACGCAGTGAGAAGGGCTTTCCTGGGCATCTCTCTTCCCTCTGGGGAAAGGAAGCCGTCTTCACGCTCTTCCTGGCGAGGGTCTACCTGGAGCCGTCTTGCGTGGCTGACGGCTGACTATGGCCAAACGTGCTTTGTGAAAACAGCAAAAGATACCAAGTTATTGACGTGGCATGATGAAGTAATACGTGGTTTTCCTTTCGTATTTTAATTTGTATACAAAGCACTTTATAAATAAAATCATATATTTTTATTAATTATGAAGTTTTTAAAGTAATGCTACCTTTTAGTAAATTGTTTTAAGCCAGGTTTTAGGACACCAGTGCTTTGGGGTGTTTTTTTTTGTTTTTTTTTGTTTTTGCTTTTTTGTTTGAAGTAATCTCTGTACCCAGTGTGGGGTTCACACCCACAACCTCGAGATCCAGAGTTGCATGCTCTGTGGGCTGAGTCAGCCAGATGTCCCTTTAAGACACCAGTTTTGGGGCACCTGGGTGGTTCAGTTTGTTGGGCATCCGACTTTGGCTCAGGTCATGGTCTCGCGGTCCGTGAGTTCAAGCCCCGCGTCGGGCTCTGTGCTGACCGCTCAGAGCCCAGAGCCTGCTTCGGATTCTGTGTCTCCCTCTCTCTCCGCCCCTCCCCTGCTCATGTTCTGTCTTTCTCTTGATAATAAACATTAAAAAAAAAAAAGAGACCCCAGTTTTATTCCTTTATACTGGAAACACTCATTTTGATCAGTCATCAAGCATTTTGCTGAATGATTGGACTACCTACTTGCAAAAGTCCTATCTCCCTCGAGAACGTGAAGTTTGCCGTCACTGAGGGTACCCAAGAGGGGTGGTCCTGTCACTTAACCTTCGAGGACCACAGCTCGTTGGCATGAACAGAGTTCTGTTATTTATTTATTGCCCAAAAAAATTGCACTACTTAGCACGGTCCAGGCAGCTCTCTGCCTTACACAGGATGTAATTTCGGACTCCCCAGGTAGACTAACCTCTGTGACGCCAGGTCCGCATCTCGGGCAGTTGATCGTTGGCTCCCTAGTGCTTGGAGAAACGTCTGAGAATGCGAAACCAAGCAAAAGGCGGTTTTGTGACTCCCAGGTTCTCTTGTTTCCTGCCCCCCCCCCTTTTTTTTTGCCTCCCATACAAATGCATAGCATAGAACTGGTTCAGGATTGGCACAGTTCCAAAGTTGTCTGGGTTCCGGGGAGGGGAGTGACCACGCTCCCCCGAGCGGCTGACCCTCCCTTCTCCCCACAGAAACTGAGCGTTGTGGAGCAGGAGAAGATTGACAAACTGATGATCGAGATGGACGGGACAGAAAATAAATGTGAGTGACGGGGGTGGAGTCGGCCGGCCTCCCAAAGACCTTCCGACCCTCTGAGGGTCACCGTGTGTGACCAAGGACTGTGCGGCGTGATCGTCCGCAGGCTCTGCGGAGCCCATCAGCTCACCATAATAAAACCTGTTCTGGGGGTGTGTGGGTGGCTTAGTCAGTTAAGCATCGGATGCTTGATCTCAGGGTCGTGAGTTCAAGCCCTACGTTAGGCTCTGCGCTGGGCGTGAGGCCTACCTAAAAAAGCAAACACGTTTGTAGATATTAGGAGAAATACCAGGTGACCGCTTGTGCGTGGGGTTACTTCAAAGAGGCTTCTGCTTTACGGTGATTGAGGCAGTTTGTGGAATTTGCCAGAATTTCATAGACCAGAGAAAGGGCTTTCTCTTCTGGGGAGAAAGCAGATGAGTCCACACGGCGTGCCGCCATGTTCCTGGGTCGGACGCCGGAAGTGGGTGCAGTAGAGAGGAATGGGTCTGGATCCAGGCTGGCCGCGCTCCTGTGTCGGAGTGCGGGCCAGAAGGCTGGCAGGAGAAGGGTTAAGGGTTACGGGTAAGAAACTGCTTAATTGAACTCTTCTGTTCCAGCTAAATTTGGTGCAAACGCCATCCTGGGAGTGTCCCTGGCAGTCTGCAAGGCGGGGGCCGTTGAGAAGGGGGTGCCTCTGTACCGGCACATTGCCGACCTGGCTGGCAACGCTGAAGTCATCCTGCCGGTTCCGGTGAGTGGCTTTGAACTTCCCAGGTGAGGAGCCGGGAGTACTTGCCGGTGGGGGCCTGGGGCCTCCCACCACTCGATCTCATCCACATGTGACTGTCCCAGCTCCGTGGGTACAGGCCAGCTCTGGAGGTCTCCACTGCGCACACCTGCCCTTTGCTAAGAGTGACCCTGAGCTGGGGACTCCACCCCCCCCCCCCGTACTCCACGCCCCTCCTTGCCGACGGGGGGGATGAAAATCCCACTGGCCTTGTTGGGTCGGGGGTGTTCGCTGAGGTAGCAGCCAGTCCGGGACCGCAGGTGCGCCTGGTGGCGGTTCCTGAGGCGTCAGGGGAGACCTGGTGAGCATCTCCTGGCCGCGAGGGGGCTGCTTGCTGGGATTGTCTGGGCTGGATGCGGCATCTGCCTGTCTCTCCCCAGGCTTTCAACGTCATCAATGGCGGTTCTCACGCCGGCAACAAGCTGGCCATGCAAGAGTTCATGATCCTCCCCGTTGGTGCCGCCAACTTCAGGGAAGCTATGCGCATCGGTGCGGAGGTTTACCACAACCTGAAGAACGTCATCAAGGAGAAATACGGAAAAGACGCCACCAACGTGGGGGATGAAGGCGGCTTTGCCCCTAACATCCTGGAGAACAAAGAAGGTACGGGCCCTAGAGGGGTCCCCGGGCGCACAGCACCTGCCCGCACCTGCCGCTCGAGGCCATTGCTCTTTCCACCTTTCATTCGCCTGCGAGCGGAGTTCCGGGAAGGGGGTGGGAGCCGGGCCTTTATTTTGTAAAGTAACCGGGAATTTCCTTACTAATTTGACTTCTGAGCAGCCCGGTTAGTCTGAAGCAGGCTCGGTGGTGGGGCACGGGCTCACTGTACAGCTTACTCCTGCCATCCTTGGCCACGTCGCGATGGCAGAGGTTTGAAGTCCGCTCCGTGTTCGGGCTGCTGTCTGCCCCACGCCGGGACCAGCGGCCGCCTCGGCTCGTTCCACCACGGGAGCCTCACGCGGCGTCGTTTGGCCTTGAGTCCTTAGGCACAGAGTTAAATGTAAGCGTTGACTAGGGCGCAGAGAGTCTCGGGACAAGACTGAGCTTTTGGTTTTAGGAGGGAAGGAGGGTTCAGCCACGTTTTGTCCCCCTCAGCGGCAGCTAGCGAAAGAAAAGAGTGGCCATCCTGCCCTTTGGGTCAGTTATACGAAATGCTAATGTTCAGCCATTCGGACCTATAAAAAATGATCCTCTCACGGTTTAACGTGGTAGTTTGGAGACGTGTGGTGTGGGACAGGCGCCGAATGTCTCTGTCCGCTTCCGTCCAGGCAGCACTGCCACGTGAGGCAGAGCAGAGCCTGGGCTGGGGTCACCCTCGCCGTCCCGGGCCCTTGGTCCACTGGGCTCCCTCTTGGATCCCAGCCTTTCGGCACCGTTGAGAACCCATTCCTTGGGACGGCGGATCTCAGCCGGGCACCGTAACTGCGTCTTGGCCAGCACAGCTGTTCCTGGGTGCTAAATTTGGGAGCATCTGTCCGTGAGAACGCCTCGTAGAGTGGAGACTGAATTTCTCACTCGGTTATCTGCCGGGGCCCTGACCGACGGTTTCTTGCTCCAAAGCAGAAAAAAGTTAACTTGGAATCACTGAAACGGAGGGCTGGGGCCAGAGCATCTCGTGGTCTTCCTGTCAGGGTGCCCATTTGGCAGGGGTCACAGGGAAGTTTTCGCTCTACCTGCCTGGCTTCCGATCTTGTCGCCACCCTCTCTTCCCAGCTCTGGAGCTGCTGAAGAATGCCATCGGGAAAGCCGGCTACACCGACAAGGTCGTCATCGGCATGGACGTGGCCGCTTCTGAGTTCTTCAGGTCGGGGAAGTATGACCTGGACTTCAAGTCTCCCGATGACCCCAGCAGGTACATCACACCCGACGAGCTGGCCAACCTGTACAAGTCCTTCATCAGGGACTACCCAGGTGAGTCCTCGGGGCGGCCCCTTCTCCGGCCACTGCCTGCAGCGCTCTGCCGGCTGGTGGCGGTGCGCCCGGGAAAGTGCGTGGGGCACCCGCGCCCCCACCTCCCTGGGGGAGGGCTTCACAGAGGTGCCGGTGCAGCAGGCGAGTCGGGAGGTGGGTCCAGGATGCCAGCCAGGCAGTGACGTGTGCTAGGTTGTTTGCAGAGTGTCAGGGCTTCTGCCCGTCACCACAGCCACCTGAGCAGATGCGGTCCTGGCTCCCTTGCACAGGTGGGAGCGAGGCTTGAAAACCCGACCTGCAGTGTTTTCCGCCCACTGCGAGCCGGCGCTCCTCCGGGCACCGTTAATGCCGGTTCACGCGGGAGGGAAACTGAGGCACAGAGCGGGTCAGTGATGTGCCCAAGGGCGGTCAGCAAATGTTGGAGCACGAATCAGACCAGGAAGTCCGTGCGTGAACTCAAAGCTAAAAAACGTGCCCAGGGTGGAGCCAAGACCAGCCCAGCCCTTGGCTTCCTGAACCCACCGCTCTATGCTCGATGGCACTAAACTCAAGCCACCCTGGGCAGGGAAGTGTCCCACTTAGCGGCTCTGGGGTCCCGGGACTAGAGCTGACTTGCCCGTCACAGGAGTCGGTGGGTAGGCAGAGTGTCTCCAGGGCTGGGTCGGGGAGCCGGTCCTGTCCCGCACGGGAGAGGGGTGAGGCCAGGCAAGCAGCGAGCCGGGAGGGGAAGGAGGCCCGGTTGCCCTTCAGCACTGGGGTCTCACCGGCAAAACCTGGCTGTCTTTTCCCCAGTGGTGTCCATCGAAGATCCCTTCGACCAGGATGACTGGGAAGCTTGGCAGAAGTTCACTGCCAGCGCCGGCATCCAGGTGGTGGGGGATGATCTCACCGTGACCAACCCGAAGCGGATTTCCAAGGCCGTGAACGAGAGGTCGTGCAACTGCCTCCTGCTCAAAGTGAACCAGATCGGCTCCGTGACCGAGTCCCTCCAGGCGTGAGTGTCCCCGGGG